GAATGTACCTACGAACGGGCGACAGGCCTCAGGCGAAGCCGATCGGGACCCAGAGATTTCAGAACCCGTTAAAATGAATCCCCCCCCTGACTGCGATTTGCTGCAGCCTTATTCGAGGATGTGGCGGGATGGACGGATGGGGGCTTCAGGCGTCGCTGGGTGGACGAAAGCACGCTAAAAGGGCAGCGATTGGTACACTGCGAGGTAAGGTAGGCCGGGAGTACGTGTCTGCGCAATGCGTTGCCTGGAGTCGCCAGTGCGGTACTTCCTGGATACCTCGGGCTTCGGCCGGAGGTGTATCTTCTTTTGCCTGGCGGGCAAAGTTCGCGAGTAATGCGATGCACGCGTCCTTACAGTCGACGTGGTTATTTGTCGCTGTGAGAGGGGAAACTGAGGAATGAGGGGATAACTAGACTCTCGGTAGGAAACATTGGTGCATGAAACGAAGAACGAGCGTCCTTATGCCTTTACGTGGTGAGGGGCGAGAGACTCCGGGCCTGTCAGGATCACGGTGCGGTGTTGATTAAGAAGTCAATGTGACAGGGGTAGGTGGAGTGTGATAGTGAAGGGGAAGGGGAAAGGGAAGGGGAAGTTGGCCAGTGATGGTGGTGACAAGCGCGCAGATGGCAACGTGAACGGGAGGCCTGGGCGTACAGTACAGGACTGACTTGAGGAAGAAGCAAGCGCTCTGCTTTACATCTGACCCCCTCGAATCTGTAGACAAGAAAGAGCCCATTTGCCTACCCAGGTCCCAGGGCCACTGCCATCGCGCCTTGCCTTGCCTGACTGACGGACGGACCTGCCTTGAACCGTCACTTGTCACCTCGCGTCCTCCCGTCCTCTGGACCGTCCTCTGAAGAAGGAACGTCTGACGAGAAGAAAATGGAGGGGGCTGAACGCTGGAACAAGGCGGCAGAAGGAACAATCTGCCATACCTACTCCAGGTAGGTACCTTATTACATGTACCTAGGCAAGAAGGCAGGCACTACCGCCAGCGCGTTGCTGGACTGGACGGGACGTGACGTGACGTGACGTGACGGCACAAGCATCGTTGGGGGGAGAGACGGAAAGGGCGGCCTGATGCCTGGACTGACGCAGTTGGCAGCAAGTAACAAGAAACGAGAAGGGGACGGAATGGAAGGAAGCAAGGGTCCTGGCCCCAAACCCCCGGTGCTGTCCCCTTGCTTATGCATGGAAATGCACAAGTCCAGTGGTGAGTGTTTGTAAAAGTGGGGCAATGGGACAGCATAAACCTTGCATAATCTCGCTCGGTGCCACGTCAAAGCTGGCGCGCTACATGTATGTGGCGTGGCTGCATGTACCTCTCGAGGCGATCCGTTCTTCTAGCCCGTCGATAGAACTGGGCTTTCCCCAGTACCTGCGAGGTATCCCAGGCTTGAGTTGGCTTTCCACCTTCAATCCAATCCCTGCACCGAATAGATCATCGAGCCCCCAAGAAGCTCAAGCGAGGCTGGCCAGCGATGGCAATGACGAGCCCTGAGTCCGCGTGCCCAAAGGCAAATGGAGCTGGCCAAGCTATCAGTTGGACAGCAATGAGCAGTTAGTTACCTGGCGTTAGAGGCTTTCGCCTGTTTCGACGTTTTGCTTTTACTCAGCGCCCGGGTCGAATGCCCAGGTTCATTAGGGCCCAGCACTCAGCTCCTCATCCCCAGGCACTAACTCAGGAACACGGCAGGATTCGGCGCCATCCCCTTCCGTCCGGTCCCTGCCTGCTGCTCGCTGGGCTTGGCCGCACAGCAACAGGCAGGAGAAGTACCTGATCGGCACAAAAAAGGCCATGAGACGGGATGACTGGGCGGGACGATGGCCCAAGAGTCGATCAAGTTCGACAATCGGGGGCGGACTTGCGATTTCAATTGGACTTCATCTCTTCTTCCACAAGTGTACTCCGGGCTGATTGCTTCTCGTCTCTCGCAGATGCCTGGGACAGTCCGCACTTTACCCCGAGGGCCCTGTCTCTCTGTCTATATGGAAGATGTCTTGGCGGGCGACTCGATTGCAATGCACTGTGTGTGCAGAATGCCAACCCACGATGGTGCTCGACGAACATGGCAGACGCCGCCCGCTCATGATGAAACAACACCAGAGCCTGCCGCAAAAGAAAGAGGAGGGGAAAGGGGGCGTGCTCAGACGCCAACCGCACGCTTCTAGCTTCAACCTCCATTGAGACCTTTGCCGATTCGACGCCCCCAACAGGTTCACGGCGCGCTCTGAGACTTGGATGAATCCTCCGTCATCACTCGGCCGGTTCAACGTGACTCGTACGTGACCCACGCCACACCATCCGCACTGGAATGTTGCTTCAATTTTCCATCGACCTGTCCGAGGCCACTCTGATGACACACTGGTCCTCAATCAACCCTCTCGCATGTTGCAGCACTCTTGCAAGAGAAGAGGAAAATTCTGGTAGAGGCGAGCCTGCTAGGAAACCGTTGGTACCGACCGAACTGGTGGGCGCAACTGCCCGAGATCAGATGGACTGGATCGATCCTGTTGGCGGCCCTTGAAGCCCCGTTTGCCGACCGCACACCACGGAAGAAACACTGGGGGCGCATGCAAGTTCCCGCAGTCAGTAGCATCACTGGGACGGGTCAGCGTGCTGGGAGCTGGAAGCCCTGTCCACCTACGTGTACCTTACCTTGGGGGCCAGATCCAAGGGGTGCATCAGGGGGCTTCCTTTGTGCCAGTGTGGCAACGCAACCATCGCAACCTGTCCACTTCCTTTCCCTGGGTCTTCCGATGCCAATTGGCAGCCTCTTTTGCCTTCCGCCTCTACTGCTGCTCCTCGTGTTCCGAAGCGATGAGCCCAGTCGGACGCCGCCCACCCTACGGCGTCCCCCAGCACTCGAGACGAATCTCGACACTATTGCTAATGGACGCGCGATACCCCGAATGTCCATCACACCCGAGACGGCCCCAGAGGCACCGCGCTATCGCGCGCCGGATCGTCCCCGACTTGTCCTGCTGGAATGACAACCATGGGTCTGTGGGACTCACTTGTTCAGACTATGCTGACCAAGGTTGGCGCACAGGGGCAAATGGGCACCGGCTGCGGGCTCGAGCCGCCCTCCCGTTCCTCTTCACCCCACCTGGCGCACCGCTGATCTCAAACAAGCTCTTGTTGCTCACCCCAGCTCCCCAATGGGAAAGGGAGCTTCCGCAGCTTGCCAGACGTTTCATAGAAACCAGGCTTGATAGCCTCTGCTTCGTAACCCCTCGCTGACATTTGTCCATGGCCCCGCCAACAGGGACCCTCTGTCAGAAAGTCTCGACGCATCCATGTCGGGAAGCATGAATTGCGATATTGCTAGCGCGGCTTGGGCAAATAGCTGTCGAACAATAGCGTGAGGCCAAGTCCCACCAAAGTCATGACCCAAACGTAAGGTTCCAGAATTCAGGGTCCTTTCGACGGTCATCGCCGTCCGATCCCGCGGCATGGCTGGAGATCAGCGAGGGGGCTTCACTCGCAACCCACGTCGGGGTGTAGGAAATGCCGCCTCAGTACTTCCGCAGGCTGATCCGGGGCTGCTGGATAGCGGCAACCGGCGTGAGCAAGGTTTGACAGCCGTCTAGCTCATGGTCGCAGGCTGGACGGTCGCAGGCTGGACGGTCGCCCGAGCTGCGTCTTGGCATGGACGTTCCTGCATCCCCGCGTGCGACCTACAGGGAGTTTTCCGAACTTGGGCCTTGGTGATCTTCGTCATGTGATGTTGTCTTGTTCGTGTCGGTCGAACTGTGAGAATCGCCATTTGTTCACTTGCTCTGTCTCGGTGCTCTGTCTCGGTGAATTGGGCGGGCAGTGTCCAGCTTTGGTGTGTCGAGCGAACGAGGTGTCTATCGAGGTGTGTGCATCACTCACTGCCTTATGTCGCACTGGCAATCCGACCAACCAACCTTCGATACGAGGTATCCCTGTACACTGATGTCCTGTTCCGCAAAGTGTCTGCAATCTGATACCTCTCGACTAGAATAATGTGAGGCGTGAGGTTTTCACATCATGACGCAGGCGTCAGTGTTATGCAGAGAGCATCTTGTTGGTTGGCAGGCGTACCGACTACTTAGAGAGCTCAGGTTCGATCCCTCAGCGGCTCCGGCGGCCCGGTCGAGCGCGATCAAGATTGCCATGTTCCTGTTGGTGATGCCTCCACTATATTGTTTGGATGCACGTATGTCAGCCTCGTGACTGTGCGAACCCGAAGCGAGGCCGAATGAGAACGACGGGCGTGCTCCTGGAGTACTCCAACGGAAGGAGCTACGTCACTCGGAGCGGTGAGTGAACGCAATATCAGTGGTGAGTTCTGAGCGGTTCGGATTCCGACACATCACATCGTGACTTCCGATGCTGTCTTTCACCGTGCTCGCATGTCCGTGTGGTTTTCGGTGAGCCATTTTGAGTCAAATGTCATGTTTTGCCCTCGGATGACTTCAATCCTCGGCCAACATGTGTTCCCAACGCTGGATATGCCTGTATTGAGCGGCAGCAGGTGCTTTATATATTGGCAAAGCATACATATTGCCCTCAGTAGTGGTATGTCCTCGGCGCTGAAAGTGCCGAGTGAATCCTTATTGATCCTGAACTTCTGTTGAGCATGTGATTGAAGAGACCGCGAAGACAGCAGTCTATTCCAAATATCAATCTCTCAAACTAGGTGGCTCTGTGTTCGACCTCGTAACGATATCTGACGCACAGAGACGGTGGTGAGAGATCAAGGGAACTGGCAGTGGGTCTTCGAAAGTTCATGTTGTGTTGCTTTTCATACCTTTCCTACCATACCCCGAGGGCCTGAGAAGGGATTATTCGTGCGGAAAATCCCTTACTGAAATAATGTGTACGATCGAAACTCTATGGATATCAATGGAAAGACAAAGGCCAGTTAGCAACTGGGCGGGAAGGCACGTTTCTATCCATGTGCTCCTGCCCTGGGTGGTCAGTACATTCACTGTCTTAATCAGAATCAGAAGAGGCAGTTCCTTCCTTCCGAGGCCTTCTTAGGCAACATTGACTGCCGTTGTTCGAACCCATGATTCACCCGCCTGTCAATGCAACGACCTGGTACCTACATCAGGTATCTGACCCCACACGAATACTTAACGGACACCACACCTTCAACCTGTTGTTTCCAAAGACCACCGAATCTCGTTCTGGTCTCGCGCATCACCGATAAACTCGAACTACCGAGTCCTAGCCAAAACATCTCGCAGGCCTGCTATACCTCTCCCAGGCCACGGTATTGGACTCCGTGGACGACGTGGGCAAGATGACAAGAGGTAACAACTCTCAAAGTGGCCGGTATGTATATATCGTTGTGATCACGAAATACTTCCCGACATGTTTAATGGATCAACAGGTTCCCGGGAAACGGAAGCAATCCTACCCAGATGCAGAGGTCCGGTCCTACGTCGTGAGTATTCCTTGGCCAGAGACTGTGTGCGTACATCAGCTAATCAACTACTCGTATTGCAGATTTCGCTGTGATGTCGGCGGAGAATGGAAACCTCTCGATGGCTTTTCGAAGAGATTCCAGAAAATTTCTTTAAAGCCCAAATTTGATCCAGCCAGGAGCGGCATGATCTGCCGCGTTCACAGCGGCGAGCCTGCTCTCGAAGCCAAATGCAACGGACCATGCGGCCGAGTTCTCCCATTGAATTCGTTTTCCAAATCCAGTCGCTCCAAGGGAGTTCATGTAAGTCTAGTCTCGTTCTCGATGCCCATGAGTCTTTTATCTTACATGGGATATTTTTGCATAGCTCTGTATCCAGTGCCAAAGCTGGATCAGCACCCAAGATGCCGAGGACGGCAGAACCCCCATTGCTGCCCCATCTCATGAACGAGATTTCGACGAACAAATCAATGGCGTTCGCTTGCCTCTGGTCCCTGATCTCTATGCCGAGTATGCAGGCCTTGACGAAGACGACGACTACGATGAAGAGGTAGGCGAGCATGCGCGTTGGACCATACTCATAATCTAACAATCGCCTCAGCTCATCGGTCCTACAAGTGGCATGGCAGCGAATTCTTTCCGTTACGGACTATCGGAAGCGTCCTCATGTCTGGAAGATACGGCATCTGTCGCCGCAATCACTGCCAAAACGTCATCGCTCGAGTGTAGGGACCGGCTAGCACCCCCCCACCTCTGGAGCGGTCGAGCACGCGGTGGTGCTCCCAGTGATGGTAAAGGAATCTCCGCAGCAACAAGTGACTGGGTGCCTCCGCATCTGCGAGGTGCCCGGCCACTTTCGCCAAAGTTGGAAGATGCTCCTGCCGTGCCTGCCACTTACGATGCAGTTCATGACATGTCAAACACCCGCGACCAGTGGGCCCAAGGTGTTAAGGCCAGAGATCAAGTCAGTAGTCTCATGGCCTTCTCGGAAATGGGGCCGTCTAGACATCGAAACTCGGCCGCACTTCAGGAGAATTGTCCCTCGGACCAGTCAACAGCGTACTCTTCTAACGAGTATTACAAGTCCAAGAGAGACCTGAAGAACGCCCAATTCCCGGCTCAGCTCGGCCGGGTACTTCGCTCTGAAACTTCTATCGGGCCTCACAAACATAGAACCTCTTCGCCAAGTGCTGTCGGGCAGACATCCCGTAGAGACAAATGGGGAAAGGCAAGTGAGAGCAGACTCAAGGCTTCGGACCTACAGAGTATTTCGACAGCGACAACATTCAGACAGGAGCAGGCGAACCAGCCGATGTACAATGCCTGGGACCATACTGGAGCTCGCCACACGCGGCCCAGACCCCCTCCTTCCACAATTGATGGAACGGACTCGGTTTTCGAGGCCGTCGCAGCTCAGGAGTGCCCAACCCCGTTCATGGGTGGGTTTGCGAGGGGATTTGTGAGTTTGTCACCTTGGCCTTTTCCTTTTTGTGCTAACCAGATGTAGGCTGCGCAAAGAAACCTGAACGGCCAAGATGATTCTGATGATGATTTTCAGAATGCCTTGCGCACGATGAAACTTGCGGAGCAGAAGATCGTCTACAATTTTGACTGCGAGCACTCGGACGACGAAGATGTTATGTGATTTGGGATTTGAGAGTGGAAGGGAGCACGGCACATCATATGAGGCTCAGACGGTGACGGGTGAAGATGTGGCAGTTTAATGCCGAACACCGCCAGGCATGAGTGATTCTGACTGCGAAGGCCAACAGCCTCGAGTGATTTGCTAGCTATGAAGAACGACGACGGATCGTACCTGGATTGGAAGGGGAAATGAGACGGCGGCCAGTAGCAAAGCAAAGCATCCTTGATTGCACACGACAGCAGCATTGGCAATGTGATATAAGTGACTTGAATTGCAAAAACGCCACACTCCATGTACGAACATCGTCGTGACGATGCTCGAGAACCCCGTACAGCAGCTTCCGACGGCGCGTTGCCCTCTCCCAGCTATCCTATTCTTTTCTGTTGCCAATGACATCGCCGTGGCAGCCATCAGCGAGCGGCCCTTTCAGCTCCGGTCGTCCGGAGCGTTTCAATGCTCGAGATTGTAGTATTGGCGACCAATCAGGCCACCTTCAAATCTCCACCTGTAACCCTCGAGCCGCGAGGTTCTGTTCAGTGTAAAGTAGTCGTACGCACTTCCTCCCTCCCTCCGCCCGCGATAATCGGCAGTGTTGCTCCTTCTCTCCTCCCCCCATCGCCCCCCCCATTCCCCTTTACCCCCCTCCTGTTGTGATGCACTGTTTATGGTATAGAAGTGACATGATGTTTTCATGATGTAATGGAACCCCGGTGCAGGGATGTTAGCTGTCGCCCTCATCCCCCCCCCGCCCCCAGCCCAGCCCCTTGTAACCGTATGCGAGGTTCTAGGTAAAGAAGGAGATGCAATTGATTTTCTTCGACACCCGGATAAAAAAAAAGGGAACAAGCCTGGGATTCACCGCACAAGGCCGAAAAGCGCAAGGAATCATTGGTACAGCGTACGGGATGGTTGCTGCCGGGACGTTATGCGTCCTCCCTTTTGTAGCCAATCTAGGCGAGAGTGACCACGAGGGGAAGGGAGGCATTACAGCTCCGAGGCGTCGCTCCGAAAGTATCCAAAGTCGCCGCTGCTGGTGGAGGCGTCGCTGTGGCGGTTGAGCAGGTCCTGGGCGTCGCCGACCTGGCGGCGCTCGGTGATCTCCAGGTCCTTGAGCCTCTTGTGGATGCGGTACCGGGCGAGCAGCGGCAGCGTCAATCCTCGGGAGGCGGCGGAGGGGCGGCCGTCCCTCATGACTGCTGATTGCTATTGGAGGGGCTCCGAGGAGGAAGAGAGGCGGTTCAGGTGAAGGTAGACGTCTGTGCCGTATCTGTGGGAGTGTTAGCACTGACCTGATGCGGAAAGGGCGATGGAGGGAATGAGGGACGGAGAGGAGAGGAGAGAGAGAGAGAGAAGGTGAGGAGAAAGAGAAGAAGAGAAAAAAAAAACGAACCCCTCCATGCTGATCAGCTTAAGGTCACCACCAAAGTAGCGAGCGTAGAGACGCGAAATGGGCAGTCCGTAGCCGAAACCGGCCATGGGGGCCTTGAAGTCGTTCTTATCAAAGTCTGGGTCGAGGTTGGGCGTGCTGTCGACAGTGGTGTACATGTAGGTCCAGACGAGGGGGATGGCGCTGCGAGGGATGCCGCCGCCTTCGTCGGTGATCTTGATGGTGATATCCTCCTTGCCCTCGGCGACGATGACCTTTGTCACCGGGAACTCCTGCTTGTCCTGGCCGTGTGTCTCGACGACGGCACGCAGCGAGTTCTTGAGGGTCTCGAAAAGCATGTGCGAAAGATGTCCGGGGACGTACATAAAGTTGATGTTGGGGTTGCAGACGAGCTGAATCTTGGGGGCTTCGAAGAGGCCGTAGTGGTCCTCACAGACGAACCGGGCGTTCTCGATGGCCTCTTGCGCGAGATCCTGGATGTTGCATTTCGTGCAGATGATGCCGACGTAAGTGGGGTCGCGATGGTGGCTCTGGTCCGTCAGAGCAATGTGCTGGCCGATGAGCATGCGGATTCCGATTCGGGACATGTAGAAGCGATCTAGGAAAGACTGAATGTTGTGGTCGATTTGCATGCGCTGTCGCTTGCGCTTGTACTCGAGGATGCCCTGGGCCATGGTCGTCACGACACCATCGTGACGCCTCTTGATGTTGTGCAGCGTCTTGGCGAACCGTTCGTTGTACAGGCGAAGCTCGGCGGGCCAGTTGCCCGAGTCGTCGACCATGGCAAAGTATCTCCTCGCGGCGGCGGACGCCTTCTTGCCGTTGCCATTGCCGTTGCCGTTGCCGTTGGAGTGCGAGATGGAGCTGTACTGGCCGTCTTCGATGCTGGGGTTTCTCGTTGTCTCGGAGAGCATGGCGGATGTCCTGCCAAACTTTTTGCCGGGCTTCATGAGCCGTTCTCGCACTTCTTTGCCGAGATCGGGTCGCGCGAGAGTTGTGAGCTCCTAAAGGAAATGGAAGAGGCAAGTTAGTTTCTGGTTTCTCTCGGTTTTTTTTTTCTTGGGATCGGGCCAGCGCAGCATACCTCGAACGACTGCGCGTACCAGTCATGAACCTTTCGGACCGACGGCATCTCGTTGAGGCCATCGGGCAGCTCGTCGAGTTCTTGCACACGATGGGCGAGGCGAATGGGGAGTTCCTCCGCTAGGAACTGCGAGGCGCGGAAGAGGGTACCTGCATGCGACGGACCAGTGATCAGCAAGGAGCGACGGCTGAGAAGGTGTTGTGGGTGGGGGAGGGGAGAGCTGCGAGGCGCATGAGGCTCGGGACAGACGCACCGGTGGAGGGCTTCTCGCCAAATTGGACCATCTGGCGCAAGCTGACGCCGGTAGCAGGAAAGCTGGCATAGTGCTTGATGGTGTTCATCAACCCCTCGGTCTTCTTCCACGACATGATGGGCGGTTCAGGGCTGGCCCAGCGAAATGCGAGGATGGCGCGTGCTCATGAACTTTTCGGGTCGGCGGCGGCGGCGGCGGCGGCGATGACGACGGTGGTTGCGGCCGGCCAGGTGGGACGACGCGATCAATTGACGGCTCGAGTGGTGTCTGTGACGAATCTGACACAAGGCCTTGGTGTCTGGAAAACGGCGGTGGTAATGTGGTGCGGTGCGAGGTGGTACGAGGCTTGGTTGCTTGGTTGAGGTCGGGCTGACCCCGCGGTTCGGTCAAGAGGACGGGCGCCTTTACCGAGGCTTTATGACGCAGGACATGGAACGAGGCTCCGAGGCGCGTCACAGGCGGGCGGGCGGGCGGGCGAGAGCAAGACAAATGATGGAGAGAATGGGTGATAAGAGATCAGCAACAGGACAGCAAAACCAATTGGGGACAACCGGAAACGATTCGCACAATGTGAAGGAGAGAAGCAATGTTGATGTGATGGAGCAGGTTGAAGTTCAGGAAAGACGGTCTGGAAGGGCTGGAGGTCTGGAGGTCTGGAGGTCTGGTCCGGCTGGATGGTGACTGTGACTTGGGTTTAGGGTGGACTTTGTCTGGTGACCAACCACCACAGCTGCAGGAGCTTCGGCCATGGACCTTGGGCTTTGGGCCTTGGGCCTTGGGCCTTGGGCGCAAGCTGCGCTACCATTTCCTGCGCTGTGAGGTCAGGTCGATCCACTATACTGGACCGAAGCCCCCTGTGCATACACCTAATTAGGTGCCCAAGGTACCTAGGTTGCAGAATGGACCGTGACGTGTGACGCGACCTTCGTTGTCGAGCGCATGCGGCGGGTCAAACAAAAGGGAGTACATGGTAAGTAAGCAGCATGTCTCTACTGTATGCCTTATCGAGGCACCTTACCCATTGAAGGGATATACGTGACAACCATCCTGGCGAGGTCTCCTGCGCGTGCCTGTTTGCCGGATGCAGATACAGATGGCACGCTCGCGCAAGTTTCGCCCGAGGCAGGGTCCATCCACGTCAAGTTGGACCTTGACCTCTGCCCATGGGAACGACCAACGTGCATCAGAGACGGAACAACTCGGAGCACTCTGGACGGAATCCCAATGTAGGCTGATGCCGTCACTTTTAAAAAGCCGAGGGTCAGACAGCTAGTAGTAGCCAGCAGCCAGCAGCCAGCCGCCAGCCGCCAGCAAAAGGCCAGCAGGAGATGCAGAAAAAGGTACTTGAGCTCTGGCCGGACTGGGGAAGCACCGGGGAAGCACTAGCCACAGAAAGAGGGGCACCTGGGACCCGTTCAGAATCACCAATGGGAAGCTCTCCATTGGCCATGCATCACATGCTCACATGCAACTCTGCCGCGACACACAAGGCCCAAGAGCCACAGTTACAGAGCAGCAGCACAGCAGCAGCAGGAGCCGCGCCACACTTTGCGCCCCAGCCTTCTGGTTCCTCACCTTCCAGCCTCCCTCCCTCTCTCTCTCTCTCTGAATGTCACCCACCGCTTTTGTGAGAAAAAAAGCCTAGAACAACGACAACGACGGACGAGTATTTTCAACTGACGGAACCCCTTCACATCACCCCACCGGGACATTTCGGAGCCTACAAAGCAAAGACCTGTTTCCATACCCGTCCAACACCACTTCCCTCGGCTCCGCGTCCAGAAGCCGACGCTGACGCCAACGCCAACGCCAACGCCAACGTCTAACCCCCCAAATCCCATACCCAGCAAAAAGCGGGAACCACCAAGCAAATCCGAACGGTGCCGGGCGCCCTAGCACCTCCACGGCCGATGCGCCGTCCCATCCATCACCCCCTTCTCGGGCACACTCGGACATGTTGTCGGATACTGCCATCTCCGACACGGGACTTGGGCTGGGCCTACGCTACCTCGACCTCAAAGAGGCTGATGATGACCACGACGACGTTCCGCTTGGTGTCCACGTCGTCCATGATGAGAATGATGAAGAGACGACGCTGGGCAAACCCCCTCGGAGAAAAGATGCCTCGACACCGCCACCTCACATCTCATCGCCGTCCATCCCTTCGCCCATGAGCCTGGGTCATCTCGGCATCGTGCCACTGACGCCACTGGGGAAACAGCTCGCCGCCTCGCTGGGCAGGACCCCAGAGACGCCGCTGAGAGGTTCTGACAGGGATGCATCGAGTGATCACGGCAGCGGCCCACGGGTTGCGGCTGACGAGGAGCTCACTCAGGGATCCAAGGCGCAGCTTATCCAGCGCCTCACCGCGCTCACGCAGAAGCTCGTTCAGGGCAGTGACGTTCCTGACCAGATCACCCTTGACCTCCTACTCCGGCGCGTTGATGAGATTGATCGTGTCGTCGATGGTCATCCTCCCAGCGCGCCCTTCCGACCGCATCTCACATGCCGGCCCACTGGTAGTATCGACGAACGAGGCAGCTTCTTCGGTTCGCCCTCCTCGTCGTGGATGCACTCTCGCTACTCGAGCCTCTCTCTGTCCGTGAGAGCTGAGCGCCCCAAACGCCCGAACCTGTCGTGAAGAAGCCAGACGTCGACTCATTCAAGATTGCCTCCGAGGCCGAGAAGCTCACCGCTGAACTCGACACACTCGTGACGAACCTCAAGGCTCGGCAGGAAGAATCAGAGGTGAGCAGGCCCCCCTGCCTCTATACCTATACCTCGACCTCGGCCCACATACTAACAGAACCCCAAAGCACATCCATGATCTCCTCGTCACCCGCGCCGAGCGTGCCGCCCAGCGCATCATCTTCCTCCAGTCCCGCGTCCAGGACCTGGAGGCCGAGCTGCACGACTCCGACACGGACCTCTCACACCTCCGTCTCGGCCTCAAGGCCATCGAGGTCCAGTGCCCGCGCGACTTCCTCGCCACCCACGCCGCCGTCGAGCTCGCCCAAAGCATCGCCAACTGGAAGGCCGACTATGCCGCCCTCAAGCAGCGGCGCGCCGCCCGCCGCATCGCCGCCACGCCTGGTGCGTCATCCACCCTCGGAACGCCGGCGCGGGATTACGCTTCCCACCATGCCGCCACGCCGTCGTATCAGAGTTCGATTGCGCCGTCGTACCAGACGTCCATCGCACCATCGTACGAGAGCCCCATCGCGCCCTCGCCCTACCAGAGCACCGCCGGCCCCTCGCCCCTCTCCCAAACCTCTGCCTCCCTCGTCACCCCTACCCGCGACACCTTTAGTCGCTCCAGTAGTGGCGGCGGCGGCGGCTTTCCTTTCGGCACCGCCTTCACACCCCCACACCCGGCCGCCGCAGAAGCACCGCCCGAGACGCCGAGGAGCGACGCCTCGTCGACCGCCACGCCAGAGAGCTACACCCCCAGCGTAGCCGCCTCGTCGTCGCGCACCTCAGCGCGCTCGGTGCGCGTGCGCAAGCTGGCGAGGCTCAACGGGACGCCGAGACGGAAGCTGGAGTATGGGGGCCACGGCGGCGGCTACCGCGAGCGGTACTGACCGCTCGCTGACCCCATCTCCTGCGAGCTGACTGTGATGGATGTTTTGACCTTGCGAGGCGCCAGTCTCTTCAAGTGCACCCTTGCCGTCGGTTGTACGGCTTTCACCCAAACTGTGTCGAGATAAGGCGCAGCACATGCATGAATGATCGGTCGGGGGGGGGGGGGGGGCTTGGGGAACCGTAGACGATGATCTCCCTCCAGGCTTGCACGACGTAATGACCCGGGCCGCGAAACGATCACGACGAATATTGATGACGATGATACCTCTCTGCATGGCGGTTTTCTGTACACCCCCTTTTTTATTTTGCAGCCTGCTTTTCTGATCCTTCAATAGCCTTGGTTTCTTTTTTTTTTTGCATCGCGTAAGCGGCTGTAGCGAGCGAGCCAGATGGCTCCCTTCAAGTTTAGCACAATCGGGCATCCATGGGAGATTGAGAATCAGGAGTTGCGTTCCCGTCACATGTGTTGGTCAACAGTTTCAGCATCATGACAACAGAGTAGCGACTAAAAATTAGATTAAGCATTAAACAAAGGGAACACGATGATACAGATCGCTGATAAATCCTCCCACCTCCTTCCGGGGTATACTCTGTTCCTATCATATCGTACAACTCGTCGAACGCAGCGAGGCGTTTGTTTTGGCTTCAACTCTCGGATCGAAAAAAACTGATCATCCAGACGCACAGCGCGGTCGTGCACTCTCCCGCAGCAAACAGACGAAGTGCGGGAAAGCGACGCGGAGACCAAAGCCACACTCTAATCGGACTCTCGAGGACCCCGTCAAACACCCCTTTGCAGCAGAAAGTGCTCCGGGGTGAAGAGTAGACATACGCTCCGTCGGCTGTGCGGCCATGGAAGCCGCCGTCCCTCGGCAGCAACAAGTGCGTCGGGACAGAGGCAGTCATAATCGTCTCTTCGTGCGAGGGTCGAACCGTGCAAACGCTCAAGCCCTGGACGACGGGACGGGCACCTCATCCATGGGCTGCCCGTCCGAGACGACGAGCTGCCTGTACGGCGGCGTCGGGGCGTCGACGTTCATGAGCAGACACCTGCGGCCAAAGTAGGTGAGCTCGGCGACGCCAAACTTGAAGAACTCCTTGACGGGCACGTCAAAGACGCCGTCGAGCTCCTCGAGCGTCTTCTCCTTGGTCTCGCGGACAAAGAAGAGGGTCAGGAAGAAGCCGACAAGATTCCACGCGGCGTACCAGCTGAAGGCGCCGGTCGACGTGAATGCCTTGCGCAGCATGGGAAATGTGAAAGCCAGGACAAAGTTGAAGAACCAGGTCGTGGCGGTGGCAATGGACATGCCGAGAGAGCGAACGTCGAGAGGGTAGACCTCGGCAGAGTAGGTAAAAGGAACGGGGCCAGCGCCCGGGGAGTAGACAATGGCGAAGAGATATGTACCAATGGTGACGCAGGCAATCTTGACCTCGCGCGATGGGAAGTAGAAGGAGAACGATGTCCAGAGAAGACAAGCGAACATCATGGGAAAGGTAATGAGCAGGAGGCGGCGACGGCCAAACTTGTCAATGGTGAAGATGGCGGGGATGGCACCGAGCCAGTTGAGCGTGCCCCAGCCAAGAGACACGGCGAGGGAGGTGGGGACGGAGAAGCCTTCATGGATGAAAATCTCGGCCGAGTAGTAGGCAATGATGTTGACACCGCAGAACTACGACGCTGCGATTAGCTCGATGGTCTGGAGAAACTGCCATGTGAAGAGTACGCACCTGCTGCATGAACATGACGACCTCGGAAGCCATCATGGCGTTCCTGTTGCGGCGGACCTTGAACAGCTTGGCGAGCTTGTTGCCAGAGTTGCCAACCTTGCGAGCTTCGACCTCGAGCAGGGCGTTGGCGTAGAACAGATCGCGAGCAGCCTGGACCTTTGTCATGCGCATCTTGCACATGGCCTGGTAGGCCTTCATGTGCTTTCCCTTGCGCATGTAGTGGCGAGGAGACTCGGGGCACAGGAAGGCGAGGGCGCAGACGATGAGGGCGGGGACGGTGGTGGAGCCAAGCATGAGACGCCACTTGAGGTTCTCATCAGCGACTTGGTAAAAGGCGAGATCGACAGCGAATCCGACCCTGTTTCGTGTGAGCAAATGTCTCCTATTTCCCTGCTGTGGCCTGGGACGGTCTTACATGATACCAAAGGCAGTCCACATCTGCCACTGCATGGTGAGGGCACCTCGAAGCCGTGGAGGCGCACACTCGGCGGCGTACATGGGCGTCGTGGCTGACTTGGGACCGATACCGAGACCGAGGACGAGACGAACAGCAAACATGGTCTTCCAGTCGTTGGTGAGAGCCTGGCCCATACAGGCGGCCGCGGAGATGAGACAAGAGAGGAAAATGGTACCGCGGCGACCGAACCAGTTGTTCAAGGGGGCGGTCAGCCAGCAACCGAGAAGGGCACAGCACAAATACGGGGCGCCGTTGGTCAGGCCGAGGATCAGGGCGTCGCGTAGTTTGTCCTTGTTCGCGATGCCGAAGGCCTCCTTGTAGAAGACCTGAGCGCCGTTGACGGTGGTCTCATCCATACCCTGGACGGCGGCACAGAGGGAGCAGACTTTCATCATCGTCAGTGGGGGGGTTTCCAGATGGATGGTGGGTGGTGAGGGGTGCCGGCTTACCAAAAACGACGAACCAAAGCTTGGTTGGGATGGACTTCCATTTCTGGGTAATCTCTTTCCCAGCAGATTCGCGCTCAATATCAGTCAATCCCTCGATCGTCTGATAGTCCTCGGGGTAACCCGCAAGAACGGCACCAAGACGGAAGGCCCGTACGTCCTCCTCATCAGTGATGCCATGCGATGTACAATACGTGTAACCCATGTTGGATAGCTTCTCAGCATCGAAGCCGGCTAGGGGGTTGCCGACTCGACGGCTGGCCTGCATCTGCAGCTCATCCTCACTGAGCTCCTCAGCGTGTGACTTGATGGTGGCCTGGGGCTTCTCGCCCTCCGAATCTGATGAGGGAGCCATGATGAAGGGTAAGGGTAAGGTGTGTATGGGGGGGGGAAGCTATGGGTTAGTGGGGATCCGGACAGAGGAGATAGGCGAAAGCCTCGGGGTCAAACGAAAGTTGATGAGAACGAGAAGAAGATACGATCCGCCTAAAGAAGAAGGCCAGATAAGACGAGAGGCAGCAGACGACGAGGTCATTATATGGGAGCAACCATGACGGACATACATGGAGGCTTCGACGCCCCCAGCATAGACTTTTGGTTACCATGGGGATCCTGATGCGGGGCAGAGCATCCGCACGAGAACGTTGGGTAGAGGTCAAGCAGAGGGAGGCGGACATGCACCTGTGCCGCCTCGCTCGTTTGCGGAAAGCCAAGCAAGCCTCTCCAAGGGTGTGGCTGTGGGATGAATGCTCTCCGATAACGCTCTGAGGGTGCAAGCAGTCGAGACGGGTTGCGCGGGGAGATTAAATATGGACTAACATCGAAGATCGGCCAGGTGAAGCTGGGGTGGACGGGGGGGTAGGCAGTACGCATGAGGCTAGCAGATGGATTCTAGAGCCGTTCTGGTGTCTCGGTAGGGAAGGCCTGGGGGCGGTTCCGGTAGTCGAGGGACCGTAGCGTCGGCATAGGTGCCTGGGATGGAGCTCTGGGGTGGCCATGATGGCAAGGTTGGCGGGGCTTGGGACGTCAGACAGGTTGTGCGTGGTCAGGTCATAGAGAGGATGGCGATGATGGGAAAGGTAGTCGTCAGGGTTGAGACCAGGGTTAGAGAGTGCATCTGAGACATCCACATTCCGAGGGGTGCCAGAGCCCAATCACAAGGGCCCTTGTCGGCAGTGGGTCCTCCCGCAGGTGTCAGTGAAGAGCCGCAGTGCCGCCGGCGTCCATTCCTCTCTTGGCATCAACCGACTTCATCTCCAGAACGACCATCCTCCAGGGCCGTCGTGTTCCTCCTGCTTGCGTCTCTCGAGCTTTGGGAGTGACCATGATTTGAAATTACGGGGGATTCCCCATCAACCCTCCACCTGTCCTGGAGAACGTGGATGATCCATTTGATGTCGACACAGTCCAGACAACCTCCACCGAAGCCGTTCGTCGCCGTGGTCAACGACCGTCAACGTCAGAAGGCCTGCCTCGATCAGCACAATGCCATGCCTCATCTCCACTGCAGATTGCAGACATGCCCATGAAGACAAGCATATCCGCCGGCATGCGACAGCCAAAACCATCGCAGTGGCGCACAGTCCGCTGGATGCTTGCATTGTATGTTGCCGGGGAGCCAGCCACCTGGTCGTATCGAAACCCAACAATCAGCCTCTGGGCACCTAAGCCATTCGAGAAGTCTGTTTCCCAGCAAAGAGACTTGCCACGTCCTCACTTCCGGACATTGAAGGTGACACTGGTCGGCAAGTCTGGATCATCTCGGTCCAGTTCCCAGCTGCCAAGGCCGCCTACCGGGTGTCTCGACTCGTTGGTGCCAGATAATATCCCGCTTTAGGCGAACAGGAAGGCATCACGATCTCCAATGCTGCCTCAAACCACTCCGAAAGGTGCTCTGGTCATGACGGCTCGATCCGTATGGCTAGCAAGCTTTCCACAGCATCCGATACCAGCGAATCAGGCTGATCAGCTTCCCCGACTTGTCGCCCAGACACCCCGCAGCCGCCGTCTTAACTTGACAGCTTTTCCCCGAATCCCCGGCCCTTGCGGCTCTCGGTCTCGAGCTAAAGCTGCGGGAAATAAAATCTGTCCCGACAGTGTAGCCGACCGTACAAGCTCTTGCACTCACGACCCCTCATCCCTAACGCGGTCATCGGCAGCACGAACCAGACCAGCTGCGCCTACCGCCCTCATCAGCTGCAATGACCCCCACGCTGACATGAAAATGGCACTGGGGATCATCCGAGCCATCTTCCCGTTCCCGTTCCGAAACGGACGCAACCGTGCTAGCTCGAGTGAGTACTACACTCTGTCCACCGAGGAGGCATCCGCCTAGCCTCCCTTCTGGCATATCACCATCTGTCCTTTGAGATCCCCCGCAAAATGAACTGAACCCTCGTTGGACCCATGCAGAGTCGTGCCCTCATGCTCTCTCGTCACTCTTGAGACAACCCTTTGTCGGAAGACATCAGCGAAGCCGCAACGATGAGACCATGTGACTCTCCATCCTGCACCAAGATCAGACAATTCGGGTGGAGAACAAGAGCCGCCCCTGAATCTCCAGGATTGTTTCCTCCGCGAGGCTTTCACTCCGCACCCGCCACATATGCCATGAATCATCTTAAGGCAAGCCCTCGGGACTGGCGGGACCGTCCCAGTGATCCACTCATGAACCTTGTGCGGCCCCATGCAATGCGGAATTTCATCGCCCCGCGGAGGACGTCCCTCTTTGCACCAATGGCGGGGTGCCTGTCACTTCCTGGGGAATCTAAATTCAGGGGAGGAGAACGATCAAGCCACCAGCGCAAGTAATTCTTGACGCCGACAACAAGGTTTCACGATTCAAGCCTTTGGTCGGTTACCGCAGTCTCCAGATCGACCGTGCGACTTGGTTAAATTCAGTGACCATGATGGCCAAGGCCATAACATTACCAAACGCGGGAGACCGGGAAATAAAATCCAGTGGGCTTCCAACGAGTAGAGATGAAGTACCCTCGGTGAGGAGAACATACACCAGGTGCATTGGTCATGGTTTCCCGATTATGAGATCTTCAATATGGACGTCAACAGTGAATGCACTGAGCAGACTCCCAACGATAATCTACGAGACCTTCTTACGTGCTCAGAACCTCCCTCGACGTCCTGCGTCACGTCTTCCTTTTCCATCTTGGTACAAATTTCCCCCGTTTGGCTCGCTAAGAACAAGACTTTTCCTCTCCCTCTCCCTCTCCCTTTCCCTGTCCCGACGATAATCGTCATTCCGCTCGATTTCACGCGAGACAATCCCTGTGTCCCCCTTTCTCACAAGGTTCATTGCATCCGCAAACCTATCCATGTTGGGCACGCTTGCACTGCACCGATCCGCCGCCACGGGACTTTTGGCCCGCGTACTGTGCCGCCCTACTGGCGGTGGTGGCAGTGTGACGAAACTTGGCTGCGCCGTGCTGACGCCTGATGCATCGGAGTTTGCTCGCCCCCAAAGTCGCCCCTGTCCTGGACCTGACCCATGGGCGATAACAGGAGTCATCTCGCAACTCCTCGCCGCAGGCAGCGGTGACGAGACGTCATGATCCTCTAGACAGTCTAGCAACGCCTCATCTAGCAGTCGGCGTACCTTCTTATCATGTGTTGCAGGCAACAGGTTTCTCGGCAGCGTATATGGGAGACACTCCTGTGCGCCATCAGGACCTATGATTTTTAGAGGGGCAAGATCGGGCAGCAGAAGGCCAAAACGGCGAGACTCCTGGTCCGGATAGGCCAAAATGTTAATGGTCATCCACTTGACAAACCCCATTCTCGTCAGACCTGGGATTGTGGGATGAGCCTGAGGAACTGCTTGGGAGAGGGAATAGGGGCAATCAAGATCCTGGTACAGATATTGAGTGCGTTCAAAAGTCGTATTCTTGCAAGGCTTGAAAGCATCTGCCCTAGTTAGGAGGCTGTCCAGCTTCAAGAAGGAGCGTGATCGAGCAGGCGATGGAAAGCATACCCTGTAAAGGAAACTCCTCATTCTCGATGCGATACTTGGCATAAAAGTTCTGCATCTTGTCTGGTGTGATCAGGTCTGTGCCGGGGATGCCAAACGCGTCGATCTTAAAAATCAGCACACATCCACTTTGACGTCTTGTAGAAAAAGGTATCTCTCACCACCCGGCATGCCAGACTATGTAAGGCCTGCCCCAAGCGTTGCGTTGAGTACCCCTCGGCATCAAATAGTACCCCCCAGGTCTTGCCTTCCGAAACAACGCCAGCGGTTTGTATGGCTGAGGTGGCCCTTGTCTCCCCTGTCCCGCAGACTCGTGGCTGGGCATGTATGATGGGCGGTACACGACTGCGGAAGCGCACAGTCGGGCGCTTGGGGAGGACTTCTGCAGTAGTAAAGCGAGGAGAGGTGCTCTGAGGGGATGGAATTTGGGAGGTAGAAACAACAGAAGGCGGAGGACTGGGGTAAGCGGTGCCGAACATGGAATTCATGAGAGCGGACGGCGTGATACCGGGCGAGGGTGCCGGATCCATGGATTTGAGGTGACCAGCAACTGATTCGTTAGTTTCAGCATGTCTAAGGGTCGAATGCTGCCCTGCTAGGAACAGCCTGCTAGGAACAGGAATAAAAACTCACTTTCCTGTTTGATCATGGTGCGTAATTCATCCATAAACCTGGGCGTTATGCCCGTCATGTCGTGACGTGGCTGAGCCGATGGAGTGATCAGACTGACAGAGCTGTGGGACATCGCAGGCGAGGCGGGTGTCTGCGGAGTCTTTGGCATTTCGCTGCCCAGCTTGTCATGGGCATCGCTTTCGAACGATGCTTCGGACGGTGCGGGCGAGAGTTCTAGATCAGGTACTCGCATGTCGTCCCCATCTTCGGCGACATCTTCAACCTGCGGTGGCGGCGGTTGCCGTCCCATTGTGGTATTCACCAGTGATCTCACTGCCCTATGTCTGGCACCAGCACCAGCGGCACTCGTGATGATGCTTGACATGACGACCATGAATTCTGAACACTATGCGGCAACAAAAGTGAGTAAGGTCGCAGACGTGGGCAACATATGAATGTGCAAGAGAGCTTCAGCGTGGTAAATCGCACGTCGGGCGCGGAAGCACTTATACCACATCGAGGTCCCATCAATGTAGATATCTTGCTCCAGGCAAACACCATGACAGCAGCGACAGCCAGTCGTCACCATGTCCATCCCGACCACTCAAAAGCCTCGTCAAGATGACGGCTCGATAACACAGGCCGGCCACGAGGGAACATATCTGCTGGCAAAAGAGACGCAGAAAATATGCAAAGGCGCTGCATGGTGGCACTTTACCAGGCTCTAGGCCAAAGAGGTCGGGCGATGATGGGTGCACACACTCGGTATTGGTGCGGTCGCCTCGCGCTTGCGCTGTGGCACTGACACAACAGGACAATCCTCCAGCCTTAACCACCTAACAAAAGAGGAGATAATTGATGGCCATTGCAACGACATGATGCGTCGGGTACCGACGAAAAGCACAACGGGACCAACGGCAGATTCGCACCGGATACTAGGTAGGGGAAAGCATGTCGGCTCGCGCAGCCGCATGGCCATGCCCATGGTCGTGGGCGCAAATAACGTCGGCCTCGTGTTGCCCCTCGGTACATCGGATGAGACTTCAGCCCCCTCTTATGAGTCTGGAGATACCAAATTTCGCGTCGGATAGTCTTCTGATCACTGATCAACCTGGAAGAGCCAGCGTATGACCCTTCAATCGTTCTTGTGGGGTGAAAGACAGAATGAAGACTGCGTGATGGTCCTGCAGTTGGGCCTCACGTAGGTAGACGATATACACAAGAAGAGAGGGAGGATGGGAAGGAAATGCCCGAGACATGAGGAAAGACAAGCCCACGAGTTCGGGTAACCACCCTCTGTGGATGCGCATGCCTCTGAGGCGAGACAGGTGGTACGGACCATACCTGCCCACCAGTGGGCACTTTGAACATGATTGCTGGGAAGTATCTGCCAGGAGGGTGTTGCTGTCGTGACACCCATTGGGCACCCAGGCATAGCCTGCCAGCCCCTTGCCACCAGACAAGGCAACCACATGCGGTTCGCAACTGCTGCCTCTCTGGAGGTCGCCAGCCCACTCCTCATGCTGCGGTACAAGGTTGGCGTACCGTCCTGTCTGACGAGGAAACTTGCCGGCTTTCACTGGGAGCTCTCCCGGCATATTTTGTCCAACGAGCGCACCTCACCATGCTGACCGGTGCGCCTTCGGATCCGTTCCCCGGCCGATGATGGCGCGACAATGTAGGCGATGCCCCCTTTTCCGGTGGAGGGTCGGAAGCAATCCTCAACGTGCCATCGCCGGGTGCGCGCTCCGTCAGAGATCGATCAACACGGGCGTCGTCGGTTGACGCATAAGACGAGAATATGCCCACCAACAGCCGTTACTCTGGAACAGTTTCTGCGAACGAGCACTCGTCGGCAGATCCTCGTGCGATGCCAGCGCTGCTCATCACGCCACAATGATCTTCTCCAGCGTCAATCACACAGATATCTCGAGAACAAGCTTGGACGAATGCACAAATCACGGCTTCGCCAAGATGATGGCCGAGAAGGCCCGACATGGGACGGCATATGTGACGGAAATCAAATACAGTAACAAGACTTGTTGTTGTAATAACGCATCCCTCGCTCCTGCTGCCAAAGTCCAAAGTAAATGCCAATCAGACGCCCACCACATGTGTGTATCCCTCTGGTTCTGGGTCCTTCTTGTTCTGCCCCGCCTTCATGCCTTGTACAGCAGATCCAGGAAGCCATTGACGAGGTCCACGACAACGCTCTTATTCGGCAGCGACCCGGCCACACCGTACAGCGCCGCCGAGTCGCCCTTAGCCGTACCCTTGGCGCCCTTGCCCTCGACAATCCTCACCCTCTCCTTCTCCCGCTCCGCCTCGACAACAGCCTCCAGATCCGCCATGAGCTTCTCCCAAACCTTGGTGATCGGCAGTGTAACTGCCACGTGAATCGCCGGCGGGTTCTGCAGAGCGTTGAGGTGCCATCCCTTGGCGCTCATCGCGTCCGCAATGTCGTAGATGTCCAGGTTGCGCGCCGTGAACGCCATGACCGACACAAGCGGCCTTCCCACAATTTCGAGCTCGCTCTCCAGCGCCGGCACCTCGTGGATCCTCTCAATCATCTTCTTAGTTGTGCCTACAATCTTCACACACGCGTCCACGTAACCAGCCTCGCCAGTCTTCATCAAACTCGTCCAGCAGCCTGCAATGAGGGCGCCAGGTCGCGAGCCTGCCATTCCAGGCGAGCCATAGACACCGCCAGACCAGTCTGGTGAAACGTAGTACTGGTACTTGCGCAGCGCGGCTGTGCGGTACAGAACTGTTGAGTTGCCCTTGGGCGCAAATCCGTACTTGTGCGTGTCGCAGCTGATACTCGTGACGCCCTTGAGTCGGAAGTCGAACAGCTCAGTCTCGAATCCGGCCTTGTCCAGGAACGGCACCAAAAACGATCCCAGACAGCAGTCGACATGCAGGCAGATCTTCTTGCGGAGGGCCAGCTTTGACAGCGCCGTAATGTCATCGATGATGCCGTGGGGGAAGTTGGGTGCCGATCCTACGATGAGGATGGTATTGCTCGTGATGAGGCGGGCAACGGCCTTGATGTCCACCTGGTGCGATGGTGCCGGGCATGGCACAAACTGAGCCTTGATTTTGAAGTAGTCGCATGCCTTGCGGAAAGCTGGGTGTGCGGTTTCGCCGAGAATCCTGAAGTATTCCTGTTAGTCGCCAATTACGAATAGCCGAGGTGGAGGTTGGGTATGGGACATACATTTCAGGCTCGGTAATGCCCTTCTCGTGGTAGCCCCTCTGTCGCGCGCTCAGGCATGCCGAGAGGATACTGTCTGTACCACCGCTGGTTGAAACGCCGGCGGCGCCGGGGGGCGCGTTGAACATGGCGAGGACCATGGCGACAACCTCGGCCTCCATCTTCCGGACACCGGGGAAGACGTCCGGGTGGATCGGGTTGGCGACAGTGAATTTGCCGTACGCCTCCGTCTGTAGCTTGATCAAGTCTTCCTCGCCATGGTAGACGGCGCCGGACACGTATCCATCCTCCCAGCGCGTATGGTCCATGTTCGCAAGTGTGTCGAGCTCGGTGCGGATGACGTCGTCGGAAAGACCCTCCTTGGGAAGGGTCAGGTAGCGGGTGAGATTTGTCGGCACCATCTTGCCCTGCAGCTTGCTCAAGCTCTCATTGACCTGCTTCTGCACCTGGCCGCGCACGCCGGGGGCGCGTAAGAAGTAGCCATATAGGACCCTGCGCAGCGTGGAGTAGAACTCCACGACAGAGCCGATCAGGCCGCGGCCCTTCAGCTTCCAGAAGGTCTTGCGGGTCCATCGAACAACGAAGAAGAAGAAGACAATGTTTCGAAGACTACAGGAAAGAAACAGAACTGTCAGCAAATGCAGTCGAATGGGGAGGTTTTGCAAAAACGCCCAGTCGTGTGGCACAACGAGAATCACTGACTTACAGATCGAGGTTCAGGATAAGGAAGGGGTTCGTTTGGCGGGACTTCTTAACATGGTTGAAGCCATCCCGAAGGCTCACGGGCATGCGCGAGCTGCCAGGCATCTTGGGGGGAAAACAAAAAGCTCGAGACACTAACTCAATCGAAAAAAATATACAGGGTGGCGACGATGGTGTCTGGTGGTACAATTAGAAATGTCGGGGCGGATGCGACGGGCACGGCCTTGGACTTTAAGCTCCCCCAAGACCTCGAACCCCAAAGTCGATGGAAGGCGAGAACAGCGACCCAAGCCTACCCAAAAATGGTGGGGCATGGCCATTACTTGGATATTTTGGCCCTTCACATGCCCCGGCCTTGCAGCGCCGTCAGTGGGGTCGTACAGGGGTTCTCCTCCCCAAACCTCCCCCCAACGTCCCTCTAGCGAGCCGAGGCCTTGCCGTTTTGGATGCTGGCTGACCTCATTTGGCTGCACCGCGCTGCACCGCGCTGCACCGCGCTGCAACCTCAGTGCCGCTTTCACAGCTCCGCGCGCCTCGATTCAGTGCCCGTCTCCACCCCGTTGAACATGACCAGACTGCGGACCTTCCAATCTGGTGGTTATCTTGTCAAGTCCGTAGGTCGCTCGCTGTGCAGGTGCGGGGGTGTGAAGTGGCTGTCACACAGGTTGGGGGCCTGCCTTGCCATGCAGTAGGCATCGACTGACTTTCGGAGTTGCCGCCGATTGGCTCATTGTCATGATGACCTCAGTGAGCTGTCGAGGGCTAACGTGGAACAAGAGATTAAGAGTGCGCAGGCCGGCATGTCAGTGCCGAAGGATTTGCAGCTCTCTCCTTACTCTCAGGCCTGGAAAAAGCGTTGTATGCACATTGTACCTAATAAGGTGCCCTGGGTGAGCTTGCCATTGCGAAGACCAAAGATCGGGGTCAAACCATTACCTCAACACCAGAAGATTCCAAGCCACCTAGGTATGTACCATCTAATGCAACACCAAGAACTACAACCATACAGGCCTCGAGGCCGTCGACGATGCTTCTTTCTCTAGGCTCTCGCATCACCTGAATGCACGAAATAGCAAAGAAACGCCGTCGTCCACAATCCTTACACCCCAGCTCGCAAGTTGATGCCAAAACACTGCCAGTGAAAACGCCGCCAAAAGACATTGCGCACCCCTCGCTTCCGTGCCCGCGTCAGTCCATCTCATTTATAAGCCGCGAATGCCTCTTCCCATTGTGTCTTGAAGCTAGCGAGCTCGTTCTCACAGCTTCTCTCGCCTGTCGGCGTGCAACCCGTCGCTCGAACGACGTAGTCGCCTGGCTTATAGAGTTCCTGTGCCTTGTCGTAGCGATTGTAGGCATTGATGGTCCTCTGCGGCACTAAGGCCAGCTTCGCGAGG